GGATACCTACTAACTGTACTAGTCTGTCTCAAGCTTAAGAATAAAAACAGAACTCCTGTGCGCTGTTGGTGGGAATGCAAATTGGTGCAGTCACTATGGAAAACAGTATAGAGATTCCTTAAAAAACTAAAATGTTAGGTGATAAAAAGACAACAAAGAATTATGGCACATAGAATGTGATTAATAAATTGTAATACTTATAATTACGTTGAACCACTTGAAATGGCTGATACTTGGTTATTTTTGTTCTATCAAATGGCAGTTCCATATGGCTTAGCTTATTGTTGCAAAGAGGCTGAGAGCACAGTGGTTAAGAACCGGGATGTTTGGGCTAGAGCCCTACCTCTGTGACTCACTAGCAAGTCACAGAACTTTTCAAATTCAGTTCCTTAGCTGCAAAATTTAAATATCTACTCCATAGGATGGATGAAAGATTAAATAAATTAACACAAAACTTTTAAATTAATGCCTGATACTTAGCTCTCAATTAATGTCATTGATATTATTAATAATGAAATGAAGAAGGTACATTTGAAAATCTCTGAACTTAACTCCAACACCCAATCCTATGCCTTTTTGGATGGTGTTGATAAAAGAGGATTATACAGGGGCCATTTACCTGTATAAAACAAAGAGGTTAAACATTAAGTGCTAAAATACTGTAGAATCAGGAATTATTTAAATAAAAATGTCTCATATTTCCTTAACAATTTGTCTGAGAAAAGTCTGAAACAACTGGAATACTGAAAATATGTTATGTTGGGATAAATTAGTACTTTTCCTTAACTTCTTAAATTACTAAACATCTTTAAGTATCATTTCACATAAGATGAAAAGCTAGAGGTCTATTATGTATAGAGCTTAGTAGGTTCTTGCACAGGTTCATAGAGTTGTTCATTGTAAGAGACTAAGTATTGGACTGACAGGATGAACAGATCAGAATGGTAACAAACCGACTAATTGAGTGACTGATAGTGAGTAAATCACTTCAACCTCATTTTTCTATTTGGGAAACTGGGGAAGAATTCTAAGATATTAAAGCTCTTCTAAATCTAAAAGTCTATGAGTCTCTATTTTTAAAAATATATTTTATTGACATTTTTACAGAGAGGAAGGTAGAGGGATAGAGAATTAGAAACATTGATCAGCTGCCTCCTGCACACCCCCTATTGGGGATGTGCCTGCAACCAAGGTACACGCCCTTGACCTGAATCGAACCTGGGACCCTTGAGTCCGCAGGCTGACGCTCTATCCACTGAGCCAAACTGGTTAAGGCAAGTCTCTATTTTAAACAAATTAAGAATATAATGATGGCATCAAAGTAATACAACCTATTTTGCCTGTCAATAAATAGGAAGTAAATTATTTTCAAACAACAGAATATTAAAAAATAAAAGGAAACAAAAAATACACTTAGTGAAAAATATCCTAAATTGAAACCACAGTACAGTATTCTGTGCAATAAAGGGGGAAAAGTTAATGATCAAGCCTTTTCTGAAATTGATAGGAGGCATATATTCCTTCTCAGCAGGATTCAAGCTGCCTAGGCTAGCACTGAAAACAATACTGACTTAAAATCCTAGGTCCATTGGTCCTTAGACTCCATTGTCTGACCTTAAGAAACTTACATGACATCAGATTTCTGTCTCTGAAATATGTTAATTATGATATAACTTCTAGGTCTCTTGAGAGGGTAAATTAGTTAATGTTTCTAAGTCACTTAAAGGATAATGATTGACCAGAGAAAGATCATCATTGTGAAATCAGAAAAACAAAACACTCAATGCTCAAGACATTCTTCTAATTAACATAGGTATCTCAATAAGAGCTTTAAAAAACTGATCTTTAAAAAACGATCTTCATGACCATGACCATGTAGAAGATCTAAAATAATAATTGCAAGGCAAAGCAAAAACAATTTACATTCTCATTATGGCATTATAAGAATAAGTAGGTTAAAAGTGAACAGTTTATATACATATGTTAGTTTTGGGGGAAAGATATAAAACCAAAGCACATTGAATCTGGTATCATAAAACTCATTCTCTTCTCCAATTAAAATGTTTATATCAATTAAGTGATATCCTTTAATTGTTAAAATGTCAGAAATACAACTCAAATAGGTGACTATAAATGTGAAGGTTTCTATAAATAGTATTCTCAGTTAAATTGCTTTGACATTTCAAAAAATTTAACAAATTAATTTTTTAGAGTTGGTCACAACACATTAGTTCTTCCATTAAAGTATGAGCAACTACATTTTCCAACACTTGAAAATAAATAAATCGCAAAAACGGATTTAATCTTAAGTAATCAATGGAGTCCTTTATTTAAAAAGTAATGTTACCCCAATAAATGGAATTTTTAAAATAGTTGCTATAGGAAGATGGAGGAAGTTACTGTTTGGTTTGTTCATTTGTTTGAATGTTGCTTTGACTTTCCTCAAAGGATTGTTTTTCCCTCTTACATAATTCTAAGATTCCAATATTCACAGCATGTCATAATTAAACATCTTCTAGAAAGTACACAGTCTGATTAGCACATTAACTCAGGCATAAACCAGCCGTGACCATGCTGCTCCAGGACTCGGTCAAATCAGACTGGGAAAGAACAATCATGATGAAACTGGACATATTAATTCCAATATTATTTTATCTTCCATCACTTAAGATCTTCTTTTCCCTGTCAGTTCTTTTTTTTTTTAATATATCTGCATTGATTTCAGGGAGGAAGGGAGAGGGAGATATAGAAACATCAATGATGAGAATCATTGATCAGCTGCCTCCTGCATACCCTACGCCAGGGACTGAGCCTGCAACCCAGGCATATGCCCTGACCAGGAATCAAACAATGACCTCTGGGTTCATAGGTCGACAATCAAGCACTGAACCATACCAGCTGGACTCCTTGTCAGTTCTTACTCTTTAATTTTGGTGAGAACAGTCTCTTAGCCTACTAGTAATAAAAATGGCTATCTCATGAATGGATTAGAACACTGTGGTACATCTACACGATGGAATACTATGCTGCTGTAAAAAGGAAGGAACTCTTACCATTTGCAACGGCATGGATGGAACTGGAGAGCATTATGCTAAGTGAAATAAGCCAGTCAATGAAGGAAAAATACCACATGATCTCACTCATTCAGGGATAATAAAGACCATTATAAACTTATGAACAATAATAGATACAGAGGCAGAGCTGCCTCAAACTGATTGTCAAACTGCAGCAGGAAGGTCAGGGAGGGTTGGGGGGCAGGAGGGAGGGGAGTAAGAGATCAAACGAAGAACTTGTATGCATGCATATAAGCATAACCAATGGACATAAGACACTGGGGGGTAGGGGAGGCCAGGGGATTGTCAACGGTGGGGGGAAAAAAAAAGGACACATATGTAACACCCTTTGTAATACTTTAAGAAATAAAACAATAAAAAAATGGCGATCTCAGTTCTGAAAATTAAATACCTTTACCTTCATTCTCAAAGGCTCCCATCACCAGATTAGGGAAAAGTCAGAGATGTTTTTACAGTTACATGTCAATAACTAAGGCCCACAACTTACCCTCCAATATCAGCTCCTATTTTGAAGAGGGAGAGCAAGAGGACTACCTATATTCTGATGTCTTTTTCTTGAACTGAGTTTTGGCTTGGTGCTTGCTTTCAAGCAGAATAGGTGCATATGGCCTTGAGGGTGAGAATTTCTTCCCCACAGTCTACACTGTGCTGCCCAAAATGGTGGCCAGTAGCCCTAGATGGCTGTTGAGCATGTAAAATATGTGTAGAGCCATCAAGGAACTACATTTTTAATTTTCTAAATGTTATTAACATAAATTAAAATTTAAAAGCTGATAATCACTTGTGTTATTGGAAAAGCTTTAAATGTGTCTGGAATAACTTGAATATGGGAATCCACTCTAACATCTGTAAAAGTTTCTGATTTCTAAACATCTGTCAAGTATTTCTGATGAAAACTTACTGACTGAACTGTGACGGGCATATGTGTAAAGCTATATTTCAAAGAATTAATGAACAAAAATAATATAAGATACCTAATTAATAATTTTTTTCAAATATTGATCACATATTGAGTACTTCAATCTATTATACTACTTTGGATATATTATTAGAAATAAAATATATTCTTAAGGTTAATGCCACTGGCTTCTTTTTAAATGTAATACTAGGAAATTTTAAGTTACGTATGACTCATGCTATATTTCTACTGGGCAGCACAAATAATGAATAAATACTAACCAGTGGCATAAGTATCTGAGATGGGCCAGTGAAGCGGTTTAGAAAATCTGTATAGAATGAGAAAGAAGCAAAAGGCCAGACAGCAGTGCGTTCAAATCTGAGGGACTTGAGCAAGTCATTCTGTTTCCTTAGCCTGTATTGCTCCATGTGTAAAATGGGAAGAATAGTTTCCTGGCTTAAACTAAATATTTATAAAGTTATAAAGTGCCCGGTTTATCATCGGTTTAAATAAACTGCTGAATAAATAGTTTTGCAATGGAAATCAGAGACTTCAAACAACTACTAAGAATCACCCGCTTCTCAGTGTCAATGAATACTGCCTCTGACACATACATTGCGAGACCTAGAAAGGAAACACTACAGAAATCCTCTGCATGAGCTTACGGGCAGGCTGAAGTCTTGATGAGTGAAAAGTAAAAGCCTGTCATCGGTTGGTCCTTCTGGCCATGCAGATCTTTCAGGGCACTTTGCAGCTAGCTGACAAGAAGAAGCAACTTTTCTTAGGCACTACTAGCCTCCTCTGACAGTTTCATCCGCTTCACTCCAGCAGACATTATCTTTGGTACTTAAAAGAGTCAGTCATTTTAACCCAGAAAAGTATAAATGATAAATCAAGAAAATCTGACCCACTTGAGAGATTAACAAATATTTCACAGTGAACAACCAATGTTTCTTTAATGAATGGAAGAACTGATGAAGGACTGCAGCATTGAACGCATTGCACCGGGCCACCCAACTCCCACTTACCCCCAACATCTGGTGGAGGTAGTGGTACTCTGGCCCTTGGTTATACTGCAGGAAGGTTTTCCAGAAAAGCAGGACGTTCAGGGCCAGCCAGATCAGCTAAATCACACAAAAGGAGAGAGAAAAAAAAAAGTAAACATAAACACGACCTGATGAATGGAAACCTGAAGTACATTCCTTGGACACAATACTTTCAATGGAACCTCAATTAGTAACAGCGGAAAGCAATCTGAAAACCACTCCAAGAAAAACACATCTGACCTCACTCAGCCCCTGCACCCAAGAGGAAGCATTTGGGCTGTCAACAGGTCTCCTGGATGATCTGCAGACATCCCTTGCTTGCAGGGCAAAAACGGGACTCAGAAATGAGTGATAGCACCCGGTCCCTGGCGATGTGTATTGTTAAAATACACCATCAAGCGGAAGCATTCTGGGCAGAGAGCAAAGAAGGGACGATGTTTAAAGGGTTAAGAAAAAGCTGAGTTCATTACAGTGATCCCTTCTCCCTTCCTCCACAGCCGCTCGCCCCTCGGGGCAGAGGAAAGGTCTCTGGCTTTTTGCAGAAAGGGTGGCATCTTTATGATCTCCGGGTAGTAACCGCGGGAAGTTTTCTGAGTTGAGAATGTTCGAATTCGAGGCAAAACTTCCACTTCCAGCCTCCCACCCGCGCACGCTCGGAGAATGAATCAAAATCTCTCCAGGAGAGACCAAACGCGGGGACAGCCTGCCCGCCATCCTACCAGGCAGAGGTGTTTAACCCCTTCGTTGTCCAGCCAGCTCCTCCAGGACACAGCCATGCCGCCCCGCTGCGCCGAGCTCGCCGCCCGCCGGCCCGGGAAGGAGCGGCGGCGGCCGGGGCCGTGGGTACAGGAGCGCGGGCGGGGGCGGGCCGGGCGGGAGGCGGAGGGCGGTGGTCAAAGACCGAGTGGAAGCGCGAGGCCGGCGCGGAGCCAGCCCGGGCGGGGTCTGCGCCCCGGGTGAGCCGGGTCTTCCGGGCGCCGCGGCTCCGGCTCCAGACGCAGCGGGTCTGCGCGGGCCACTCGGCGGTCCCGGCCCCGGCCCCGCTCCGGGCGCGCGCTCCCCGGCCCGCGGCCCCAGCTGCGCGAGGCGGCCCGCCGCCGGCCCCTTTGTCTGGGGCGAGCCCGTTGTTGTGGCTGCTGCTGCTCAGGATGTCCCGGCCGGGAGCCGGGAGCTGGGAGCTGGGAGGCGGCCCGCAGCCCAGCCTGCCCAGCTCGGAAAGACAAGATGCGGAGAAAGATTCTCCTACTTCACGCGGGGACCTGGCCTGCCTTCTCCTGCACACACACCTACTTCTTTCTGACAGGTCGTTTTCCAAAAAAGTTCAATTCAAAGAGCCTTGGTAGCGACATGAAGGCCGGAAATATAGCCTTTTGTGTACTAGCGTCCCCCACCTAAAGCCTCCCTCCACCCTCCTCTTCTTTGTCCTCCATCCCTACTCCAACCCACACTGATGCAAAGCTTTTAAGAAAATTCTGAACTGAAATAAGATCAGAGGATGGATGGTTAAAGCGGATGTGATTCTCAGGGGCTTTAGGGAAGCTCAGATTTACTCAATTTAGGAATTTACATTTCACTACCTCGTGTCAGAGTTCCTTTAGTAACAGGAATCCTCTCAAACTTGTATCAGCGGCCCGGTGAGGGATGAGAAGACTGTGGATTGACACAGGTGTCTTACACTGCATATCAGTGTTAAGGAGTATTCGTGTTAGGGAAGAGGAAAAAAGTATTCATGTAGAAGAATACTTGGTGAAAAATAAGTGTTCAATAAATGTTTGTTACATAGGGAACTTGCCAGCATGGAAAACTAACAAGTGGTGGAAAGAGTAAATCATTTGTAGCCTAATCCCATGGCTTTCAAGCTTTTTTTCTTTTTTTAAACAAAATACATTTTATAACACATACATAATATAAAATTGAAACTAAAATGTCACAAAATCATGCTTCCTTTGCCAAATGCATTGTGCTTATCTCATTTAATTCCATGAACTGATTAATGACTGATTTAATTCAAAACTTGAATGATCCATATCAAATCCTAGTTACATTTTACCAAGTTCTCTTTCTAATGGTCTGTCCTCTCTTTTTGATATATGGCTTTCTTGTGTCATACATGATTAAACCCTGAAAACTGCCTCAAATCTTTCTGGAGTAAGAGAGTATATTATTTGTAAATAGCATTCTGCTCTTATTAAGCATGTGATATCTCAAGGGCCAGAAAAAGAGCACACAGAGAACCCAAGAGGTATCACCACTGGAGGAAATTCTGGGACACACTGGTGCTCCTCAAATTACACCCCTAAGTAACCATTCAGGGCTGTAATTTCAATAGACAGGAGGTGGGAGGGTCTACAAAATGGGTTGGTTCTTGTCATGAGTTGAGAGGAGTGAAGCAATTGAAGAATAGAATAAAAGACAATTTTAAAATGTCACCTACTTCCAGGATAAAGGGAATAAAAGAATCTAGTTCTTACTGTATACAAAGTGTCAGGCCCTGTCCTTGTTACTTCATATACAAAATCTCACTTAATTCTCACAATGGCCACGTGGATGTCAGTGGTACCGCTTTAAAGGTAAGGAAACTGAAGCTAAAAGAGATTAAGGAACTTTCTTGAGGAGGTAGGGAAAAGGGGAGATGTGGGTCAAAGGGTACAAACTTCCAGTTATAAAATGAAGAAGTTTAGGAAATCTAATGTACAGCATGGTGATTATAGTTAACTGTATTATATACTTGAAAATTGTGAAGAGAGTAGGTCCTACATGTTCTCATCACAAAAAAAGCAATGGTGACAATGTGAGATGATGGAAGTGTTAACTAAAGCTAGGATGGTAATCATATCACAAAATATGTGTATTGAGCAGCACAGTGTTGCATGTCAATAATCTCAATAAAGCTGGAAAAAGTATTATGTTCACTGGAATAATAATATTGCAATAAAGATGAAAAAATAAATAAAAAGAGAAAGACACTTGCCTGAAAGGATAAAACAGTATTTGCTTATATCTCAAACAACCCCAAAACAGATACTTTTATGAAACCCTTTTGTCAAATGACAGAATGCTAAACAAATGTTGATTAGTTATACGTATCACTATTATTTTATAGGAGGCCTGTAAGAGGGGCCCAAGATCCTACTGTTTCTGTTGCCTTACAAGGAAACAATACTGGAAGGTATCCCCAGGAGACAGAGCTATTGCCTTATTGTATAGGAACTTTCATTATTGAGTTTCTTTTCAATATAATGTTCCGTAGGCCAGATAGTATAGTGCAAGTAGTTAATACTGTCTTCCCCAAGATGGGAAGGGCTGTTCTTGAACGCAATGAGGAGAGAGCTCTGCAGCTATACCAGTATTCCAAAACGCATAATGAAAAATATCACACTTTTGTCCGGAAAAGACTTCGTAGGAAAAGAAAATCAAATGACAAATACCTTTCTCTTGGTTGAAATTATGGTAAGAGAATAGTAATCATCCTATGCTGCTGATCAACTCTGGCAGTGAGAGATGTTATTAATCTATTTTTTATGGTTTAATAAACACAGAAGCTTTCTGTTTTTGGTAGACAGTGTCCTTCAACGCATGAAATCCATGAGAAAAAAAATGGTAAATGTTTGTCTGCTTTTATTATTCGGCTTCTTTATTTGTCAGCTCAGAAACATCTCTTTCTCATGAAGCTTTTTCTAACCCACCTCTCCTCAATCTCACACAGACCCTTCCTGTCATCCCTGTATTCTTCAGTGTGTCCAAAAGACACTACACACGTGATTACTAGAGAAGAGAAAGAGTTCCTCTGCCTGGAGCCAGCAGAGCCACACACCGAACATGAAGAAATGCAGTAGAGAAATATTGGCTATTTCATTATGAACTAGAGGCTCAGTGCACGAAATTCATGAACAGAGGTTGGGGAAGGGGGCCCCTCAGCCTGGCCTGCACCTTCTCCAATCCAGGACCCCTTAGGGGATGTCCAACTTCTGGTTTAGGCCCGACCTGGATTGGGCCTAAACCGGCAGTCGGACATCCTTCTTGCAATCTGGGACTACTGGCTCCTAACCGTTCGCCTGCCTGCCTGCCTGATTGCCCCTAACCACCTCTGCCTGTCAGCCTGATTGCCCCCTAACTGCTTCCCCCTGCTGGCCTGATTGCCCCCTGACTGCTCCCTCCTACCAGCCTGATCACCCCTAACTGCTCTCCCTGCCAGCCTGATCACCCCTAACCACCTCTGCCTCGGCCCCCACCACCGTGGTTTTGTCTGGAAGGACGTCCAGAAGATGTCTGGTCTAATTAGCATATTACCCTTTTATTAAGATAGATATTAATATAGATGGTGATACTCAGGAGAGCTGGAGGCTAACATTCCAAAGCCCAAACTACCAGATGGATGGTGTGTAGGTTACAGATTATATAGGGCAAAATCACAAGACACAAAATCACAAAGGTTTCAGGGTTGTGATGGGAACTGATTGGTTAGAGGTGACATAAAAGTGTAATAATCATCTCTTCAGATCTTGGAGACAATTCTGAGGTCTTTTCTGGGTGCCTCTGCCCCACATCCTGAGAAAGTAGCCATGCCATCATTCCACATTAGGGCCTAGTAGTTGAAACATAAGTTAGGCCAAGATGTTATCTTTAGCCTGCCAATGATCTGGACTAAATGGCCATTAGTCTAGGTACCAGTTATTGTCTTCTGCTAGGGATGGAGTGGCGGGGGGGGGGGGGGGGGGGGCGGTAGTTGCTGATTACCCAGGGAAAGGCTAGGTCTCTGAGGGATATATATATATATATATGTTTATGTATGTATGTGTATGTATGTATGTATATATACATACATACACATATATATACATATATATACACATACATACATACAGTGTCCCCCAAAAATGTATACACACAATGTCTGTAGATTCCATTACACTTTAAAAATGAAATGTATTTTAACAGTATCTTTATAATTACTCAAAGTGTATATACATTTTTGGGGCGCACACTCCCTCTGGGGGGTGGGGAGAGAGAGATGATTTCTAGACCTTAGGTTTAAAGTCATAAGGACCCTCCCTCATTTTTACTATCATTACTGCATATTTCACAGAGTAATTAGTTGTATGTATATGTGCGTCTACTTCTCCTCATCAACTGATCTCCTCGAGAACAAGGATCCTGCCTTATTCCATTTTAATCCAGGATCTCGGACAAAGACTAATACACAGCAAGAACTTAAAGAACGTTTATTAAATAAATGAATAGTGAAGTATATTGCCCTCTTTCTGTGCCTCTCACACTCTAGTTTCTCAAGTGTAACTTTCCAGTAATGTAAGAAAAGTTTCTTTTTAGCTTGATAATACTTAACTAGCAGAAAAGGACCCCTTGGTATGGTGTCACCTACAGCACAGGTCACAGGATATGCATTTGAGACCAGTGGGAACCTCGATTAGTCTCCTGCGGCTGCTGTAACTAATTATCACTGAGTGACTTAAAACAACAAAAATGCATTCTCTCACTGTTCCAGAGGCCAGAAGCCTGAAATCAGACCTCTGGCTCAAAATCAAGGTGGACAGAGCCACACTCCCTCCTGAGAGTCTAAGGGAGAATCTGCCTTGCCTCTTCCCGATCCTGGGGCTGCTGGCATACCTTGGCTTGTGGCTGCATCACCTCAGTGGTTGCATTGCCTTCTCCTCTTCTGTCTGTATGTACATCAAATCATGAGCTCTCTCTTATAAGTACAGTTGTGATTGATTGCATTAGGGTCCCCCCAGATGATCCAAGATAATCTCCCCAGGTCAAGATCCTTAACTTAATCACACCTACAAAAAACCCTTTTCCTTATAAACTAACATTTACAGGTTCCTGGGAATAGGAACTGATATA